TTTCTAATGCAATCAAACTCTTAAGGAAGAAAACAAAAACACTTTCCAGAGCTAGGCGGCTGTCCACCCCCACTCCGTTACTGGGTAGAATTCCCCATATCTCTTCCACTTCCAGAGATACGTGGAAATTCTGTCAAATGTGTCAATATGTATTTCAGCTGTTTAAGAAGCTAAGTAGTATTTTTCCAGTTCTTGCTCCAATGACCCACCCTTCTTTCCAAAAGAAGTTCCTCTTACTAAAACCTCTTGCTTGTGTCAGAGTTGTGTTTTTCCTGTAGCCCCCATCTTTAGTCACTGATGGTTGTGCAAATGTTAAGAAAGGAGATACAATTCCACATGAGGATGGCAGAGGCTTAGTCCTACTTCAAGCAGCTCTACAGGAGACTGGAAAAAACAGGCCCCACACAGTAAAATGGAATTGAGATTTTCTGAACGAGCATGGGTTATTTTTCCTGTCAGAAAAAGGAAGTATACTCTTCCTTAGTCAAAGATGCATTTTTAAAATAGATTTCACATTTTACTTCCTGCCATCGCATTAAAAGGTCACGCTGTTTATGTTAGTGTAACCTGTTACTGTGGGATCAGGAATGGTATAAACAAGCAATTCTCATTGAACTGTGCACAGGGGAAGAAGGTTATGAGAACATTCCTCTTTATGTGTAGGACACTTGTTCCATATAAATATAAAGAATCTGAAAAACAGAGTCTCTTTTGTAGGATGGCTCTCAGCATCAAGTACTTGACGAATCAAGGACTTGACAGAAGCAGCATAAAATTCTGGGAACTTCAGATACAAGCAAAAGCACCTGACAGATCACAAATAGAATAGCTGCTTTAAGGTCAGAACAGTACTATGTAGTAGCATTTTGAACTAGCAATTATTTTAGTACATGAAGTACAGAGAGCTGCCAGCCCAGAGGGGAAGGTTTCCTCTGCCTGCAGCAAGGTCTGCCCAGCTCCACACTCACCCCTGTACTCCACACAGGTCCTTCTGGAATTGCCTAAAGACAGAATGCAAAACCTGCTGGATTGTTGCTTTATTTTCTAATTCTGTTGATGTAGAAACTGTTTGAACCTTCTAAGGAGAAGAAAAAGACTGCAGAGAACAATGCAAATCTGATTGAATGGTCTCTTCCTCGTCAGTGAAACAGGTAAATCTTCAGCACTGATCTCTTCACCTTCAGTGCTGAAGGTGACTTTTGACCCCTACATGTTCCTAAAGCATCCACAACAGCCAAGAGCTGAGACAGCTGTACACATGGAAAGTGTACAGAATTAAAAGTAAGAAAAAACAGAAAAACATTTCTAAAAGTTTCATGTTATGCCAGCTCCTTTTCCTTACCAACCAGGATGTAAATTTTTTGCTACTGTTCTACGAACCTGCTTTCTTAAATGCAGAAAATACAACCCAATTTGAAAGTAGATCAGCTATCACTATTAGCAGAATCACATGCATTTCCAAGAATCACTTTTACCAGTTTTTCTTGGTATAATATGACAGGCAAGCTCTTGAATCTTAGCTATATTCTGCGTGGGTGAGAGAAAAAGCACATCTGAATTCACACAGTATGGTAGAAAATGAACTGGCATTTGTACTCCACAATCTACAAAGTGAGCACACAAAGGCATTTGGATGCTCTATCAAAGTGCCTCTCCCAGTCAGACCAGCAAGGGCACGTCTCCTGGCACCAGAGGGGAAAAAAACCACCTCTTCTGCAAATCAACATGAAACCAGCTGACCAATGGCCAAAAAAAACCAGAAAACCTCAATGGAAAGCGCTGCAAACATCCAAGCTCAGTGACCAGACCAAGTGTGTGCTCCTTCTGAACACTGCAGAGAAGCAATCACTGAGTATCCTCAGGTATTTCATGAGGCTAAATTCACAACCCAAACACATAGTTATGCCATGCAAGTGACACTGATCTAAAACCTGGTAATTCTCATGTTTACAAGAAAGTAGCAGTGATATTTCAGCGTAAGCCACATCCTTTGAAGACTCAACTAAAGCGAGCCCTTGGAGAAAGTCCATTTGCAAAGCAAGTATTACAGGAAAACATTTAATTTTAATGTTTAGTTAACTGTAGGATGAACTGTTATTTCAAACCTACCCAGTATATTTAGAAAGTTATTCTAGTTCGAAAAATATTTGGTCTACCACATTTTATTCTCTGCTTACAAGGGCTATTTCTATTTGAATTTACCATCATTTGGCATGTGGCCAACACCGCTTTCTCCTTAACAGTTTTCTTTCATACATCTGTGCTTGCAGCACACAGAGGAAGCAACAATACTGTGTGAAAGAACATACTAACACCATAAAACCCTTCCAAAAATGCTGAGAAGCAGGTGAGCACTGTGTGTGCATTGTACGATTTCTAAACTTTTAGCAAACGATAACCATAACAGGCTCCATTTTCCCATGCTCTGCTTCCAGCTAGACTATCACAGCAGCTCTGGGTTCCAGTATTTGATTTTAAACTCTGTAGAAAAAGCAAGTGGCTCAGTAGCTTTATGTAAGGGGACTTAGGCCATCTCCAGTCTGCCAGCAGGAGACACGGCTGGCGCTGCTGTGAAGGAGCAGCAGTGAAGCCCAAGCACAGTGCCCCGAGGGCACAGAGGTGCCATCCCCTGCAGCTGAGCAGCAGCTCTGCTTTCCAGGGAGCACCCTGACTTTGTGAGCCACACTCTGCTGTCCAGCACTAACCCTGCACACACGCAGCAAGACTCAGCGTACAGCACAGGAAAACATGGAATATCTTCAGCTTACCGAAGGAACAGAGACTCCCTGCAACCCTGAGCCCTAAACCAGCTTTCTACAGCCAGAGCCAATTATGCTGAGCCTCAAATGAATCAACAGAGCACAAATTAAGCAGTGGCAAGGCACTGCATGCAGAGACCTGCAGCTAGAACTGGCAGAATAAAGCACAAAGATGCATTTATAAAAAGTCATGTTCGTGCCACAATTTATCTGCTGCTTAGCACCTGAGCAAAGGAGCTACCCAAATGCTTTCAGACTGCAGCCTGCACTCCTGCTGCAGCTTATAAACCAACAACACTTCTAAAGCTTCCCTTCCACTGACCCTAAACACACAACACAACCACACTGTTACAATTCTTCAGGGTCAACCATTTCACAGTTTACTTCCAGCATCAAAATCCATCTACGTAAGAAAATATTCTATAAATATTCTTCCAGAGACAGTGAGTATCTAAAAAGCTTCCCATGCCTTTTATGTTGTGACAGAGGGATATCCAAAATATCCACGATCCCTATCTTCCTCCCATAGTCTGAATAAAGTTCATTAATTTTCAAAATCTGTAGTATTTTAATTTAGCTTAGAGAGGTTTGAAGCATTCAAACATTCAAGTTAATATTTGGTTAAAAGACCTTCAAAAATGAATAAAGAAACTGAGAACAGTTATTTACAGGCCTCAAACCCAACTCCAACTACACTTCAGTTTTCCAGAGATAGGTTTTGGAAGGATACTCACTTCCAAACATGCTGGAAAATCTAAACTATATCCAGTTCTTATTATATATTCCACTAACTATACAAACTAGAAAAGAGTGTACATTTTATTTTCATTTTGCTGCCTTCACATGGAAAACTCTGCATGAGCAGTCCCCAAATGTCAGCTCTGCCTCCACCCATAGTGGATGGAATCCCCAGTTGAATGGTACATCAGTAAATAATTCAGAGGTGTTTTTACTGCTCCTGATAAGCACATCAAAGTTAATATCATTGGCCAACATACTAAAGTCAACATATCTGGTTTCTTTAAACACAAGAAGCAACTCTATCTGTATTTAAGGGATGTGTTTTTAAGATAATATCTCGTTCTATCATCCTGTGTAAGAAATTAGAAACTAAAGCATCTCCTAAAGTTCTGAAAGGCTTCCACATGTGAAATTACTATGAAAATTTGATACTGCGCTCACTGTGAGCAAATGACAATCCAGTCATTGTTGTTTTCATGATATCCATCCAGTTGTTTTGATATTCTGGACAAATATCTACTTTTCTTTCCTCCTCTAAGAGCTTAAACTGTGCTTTCCTTAGCTTTGGGGTATGGGTTTTTTGTTGTGACATCTCCGGAGTGAAAGCTTCTCATTCCAATAGATACTTCTAATGGTATTTCTGCAGGGTGCATGTCATTCACTTACCCTTAAGAATCTGTTTTCTGTTGCACACCTTTACCACAGTTAGTACATGGTAAAACTCACTTTCCTCTTATGGTTTTATGGAAGAGGATTTTAATTCGAATGCACCTTTCTTACACTTAGGTTTCTCTAAAACAGAAACAACAGCCAGAACCTTAGCAATTATTTTTCTCACTTGGGTCCCTGAACAGCCTCCACAGAATCTTATGGCTCGTAGTTCTTTTAACAAGCAAATCTAGAGGAAAGTATGGGATAGAAATAGGTATTAAAAACCAAACAAACATTCAAAAAAACCCTAGAGTAACAAAACGCAAAGAACTTCATCACTGTTCACCCTGTGACCAGCTGTACAGAGAATGGTTCCACCATTGTGCAGTGCCCAAGACTTGATCGTCACAAAATCACCTAAACAAGGTCTTCATTTTGAAGCGTGTGTGTCTCCCCATGCTGGGATTACTTCTGCTGAAAAAAGGAGATCATCTAAATTCTGTTCTTTCCCAACTGTACTATCATAGCTGAACACAGCTTCCGCTCCTCCAAAAAAAAAGACGCATGGACAATTTTAACCCTTCCAGGTCATGTGGCACCCAGGCAGTCTCCCTTCCCTTAGCCACACCTCCCTGTCTAGGCTCATTCCTCCTGGAGACGCTGTGCTGTATCTCCAGATAACAGACAGGCAAGGAACACGGGCAAGCTGCAAATGTTCACCTGCAGCACTGGGGAATGTTTCTGGGTTCCAGCAGTTACAACCCCAACGCTGAGGTACCAGAAGGCCGTGGTACAATTACCCCGGGGGAAATGCTTTTCTGCACCCATCACACACACTGCTCTACTTACTGCATTCTTCATGCAAAAGCCACCATTGTAGGAAAACTGCTTTGCTAATGTCACAGCCCAGACACGAAAAGCACAGCTCACGGAGAAGCACCTTCTTCTTCCAGATGTACACGACCTGCCAAGATGCCATTTCCAGCAGCTTATTTAAAAGCAGGATGCTGTTGAGAAACTGAATTTCATGACATAGATGCACATATTTACTAATCAATCAGGGAAAAAAAAAAAAAAACAAGTAGAAATCCCACCCCCTGTGCTTGTCAATAGTTGGATGCAAACCAAAGAATCACTTCAGTCCTTTTTTAAACTGAATTTTAGTCCTCAATCAAAGCTCATGCTGTGCTACAGTTTAAGCAGGCCACTGAGTCATATCATTCAAAGAGAGCAGGACAAAAATATCACTGAATGCTAATCCCTCATTGAAAATGGGCCATTCCCTCATTCGACGTAGATATTTCACTTCTGTAATTCAATTGTACCTGTAGAAATGTACTACTTAAATTACAAAGCTCTGTTACTCAAAATCATTTCCTGAGCACTAAGCTCGCAACACACCAAATCATCCAGAACGGTTCAGCAAAAACATAACGTCATATATCCACATGACTTTCAACTGATACAGTCGGCAAGCACTGACACTCGGCAGGGAAATGTAGGAAATGGACCTTCTGAAAAGCAGGCTCAACATGTCATGCTTATTCTCTAAAGGCCAGACAACTCAAGATGTTCACCCTGCAAGCTACTGCTGTTACAACTTGCATGCTGCTATTCTGAAACTGAAGTCCTTTTATTTCACTTTTATGCAACTCCTCTCCATGGTCTATTGCCAGAGAAATTCACACTGAAAGAAACAAAGCTCAACATCTATGTTGCAAACATGAACTTCAAGTCATTCATTTATGCAATATACCAGCTTAAACATTCAAATGGATGTTACAGCAATGCTGCCTGATCTGACTGAACACATCCGCCCAGTCATTCACGTATTTCAGCTTCTCTTAAACTTCATTTTAGATAAAGGTGTGAAGAACTTTTAAAGACAAAAGCACCAACTTCTGTGGCTTGTATGCTCAGCTGGATCCAGAAGCCAAATATTACTGCAAGCGTTAACGTTTGTCACGGCGCTGTTTTAAATACCCCCGAAAAAAATCTAAACGCAGCAAGCGACACAATAAAAACCCACCAGCAGCTAGCTGCAGGAGTATTGCTAATAAGCTGCTGCAGGCTCTGTTCTATGATTAAGGCGCCTGAAAAGCGAAATGCTGCTGTGCTCCGAGCCGAAGGCAGCTCGGAGGGGCGGCCGGAGCGGCTCCTCCGCTGTCCCCGCGCTGAGGATGCGCCCGCGGCGGCAGCTCCGGGCGGGCAGCGCGGCGGGGCCCGGCCCGCCGGGGAGCCGGGCAGGGCAGTGCCGGGGCAGCACCGGCGGCACGGCGGAGAGAACGAGCGGCAGGCAGCGAGCGGAGGCAGGCAGCGCTCCCCACCCGCGGCCGGGGCAGAACCGGGCAGGGCGCTGCCCCTCACCTGGTAGATGGCGGGCCAGCTGGCGGCCTGGTCCAGCCGCTGGAACTCCTTCTCCATCTCCATCTCCACCCCGAGGGGGCCCGGGCCCCCCAGCGCCGCTCCGGCTGCAGCTGCTGCCGAGGCCGCGGCGGCTCTGCCCGGCCCCCGCCCTCACGATGCCGCCGGAACTGCGCACCCGCCCCGCCGACGCCATGTCCGGGGCGGTGGGACCCGGGCCCGGGCAGGGCACGGCGGAGCTCGGGCGGGCACGGACGTGCCCGCCCGGGCTCCGCCGTGCCCTGCCCGGGCCCCTCCGTGCCCCGCCGTGCCCCTCCGTGCCCCGCCGTGCCCGCCCGGGAAGGGAAATTAAGCTTAGTGGGCTCTGGGAGATACATCCTTGGAAAGTGTAGGCCGTGTGCTTGCTAGAAGCGCAGCTGTGCGGCTAAGTGATAGAATTGTTAGACGTGATGGTTGTTTAGTAGGTAAATAAAATTGCTGTTTAGTCGTAAGAATAATCATGAGAGGCTGTGGTCAAGGGGTTGAGAAGGGTGGCGAGAAGCTCATGCGTGAGGGGTCCTGGCCAGCACACACCTGAGGGACCTCGGGCAATGTGTACAATGGTCTCGTTCAGCGTGGGAGCAGCAGCAGCTGTGAGGGGCTGGGGTCACCTCAGTGTCCAGGAGCGGGACAGGAGCCGGGCAGTGTCCCCCGGCAGTGGGGACAGCCTGGCAGCGGGGACACCGGGCAGAAGGATTCGGCTGGGACACACCTGCACAGGGCAGGTGAGCAGAGATGAGAGTGAGGACAAGGAGATGCGACAATCAGAAACCAGACGGGGACTCAATGCCAGGCTCAGCGAGCCACGTCATAACCGCGGTACCTCAGGTGTGTGAGGGCTGAGAACTTACACAGGTGTGTGAGGGCTGAGGGGTCTCTCAGGTGTGTGAGGACTGAGGGGACTCTCAGGTTTGTGAGGGCTGAGAACTTACACAGGAGTGTGAGGGCTGAGGGGTCTCTCAGGTGTGTGAGGGCTGAGAATTTACACAGGTGTGTGAGGGCTGAGGGGTCTCTCAGGTTTGTGAGGGCTGAGAACTTACACAGGTGTGTGAGAGCTGAGAACTTACACAGGAGTGTGAGGGCTGAGGGGTCCCTCAGGTGTGTGAGGGCTGAGGAGTCTCTCAGGTTTGTGAGGGCTGAGAACTTACACAGGAGTGTGAGGGCTGAGGGGTCTCTCAGGTGTGTGAGGGCTGAGAACTTACACAGGTGTGTGAGGGCTGAGGGGCCCCTCAGGTGTGTGAGGGCCGGGGTCTCTCAGGTGTGTTTGGGCTGGGGTCTCAGGTGTGTGATGCCCGGGGTCCCTCAGGTAATATTCAGGCCGGGGTCCCCTTTCCCCGGCCCGCAGCCGCGGCTGTCCCGGAGGAGCCCGGCAGAGCCCGGTGCAGAGCCCATTCCATCAGGGCAGTCCCGGCAGAGCCCCGGAGATGCCCGGCAGAGCCCGGTGCAGAGCCCGGTGCAGCAGCGCAGCTCCGGCAGAGCCCGGTGCAGCAGGGCAGAGCCCGGCAGAGCCCA